GACCCTTGAGGTAAAAATTGGTGTGTTTTACCCAATTTTTTTTTATTCTTAATGAGAGACAAGTTGAATACGACTCCCTCTATTAAGGGCTTAAATTATGTACGTGGGAAGGTGGGGAAGAGGGGGACCAGCAAATTGCTAACGCCTGGAAGGAGAGCTTTTAATTTTCCGTGGCAATTCATTTCTTCTATGGTTGTTAAATTATGGTAACTGAAACTAAGATAATATCAGGATTTTAAGAATTGGAAGAGTTCAGATGGTTTGTTATGTGTTAATGAGTGTTAAAGTGTGCCTTAAGCATACACTAATCTCATTTTAAGTGTGTTAAAATCTGAATAATTCACAATTAATAGCTTGTGAGTGAGGTGATTACCATTTTAGAGAGAAGGAATTAGGTCAAAATTAATAAATGGCTAGCTAGGAGTAAAGTGCTTAAATGAATAAATAAGGAACTTTGCATACAAATTCAGTTTGGAATATGTTTGAATATTTATATTTTGTTCTTTCATACTTGAACCAGTTCTGAGTCCTTAATTGGTACCGTCCTTAGCTCACTAAACACAGTCCTGAAAATATTCTATTGTTCACAGTGAGAAGATGCATTTACTTAAAATCTCTGTTATCAGTGGCCTCTAACTTGCGTTGGAAACCATTTTGGATTGAAATTTCTGTTTGTTTTCATTCCCAAGGGTGAATTTTATTTTGTTTAAATGTATAAGAAACCATTTGGCTGTTTTCTACTAACGAACTGTTAAGGAAGGAAGAAAATATTTTTTTACTGCTTGATGCTCAAATGATGCTTTTGTGCCCAGATAAATGACTTGGATGAAGAAATCAACACTTAGCACAAATTAAATCCTTACGATGGAATATTCACTTCATTAACTTAAATAAAATTTATATTCAGGTGTAATAAATTTGAACTTTTAAAAAGTATAAGCTTCTCTGCATTGAAGTTCTTTCATGTGACATTTTATAGAGGAGTGTGGTTTTCTTGGAGATGTTCCGATGTATAGTGTGTACGGGTATCCTTTACTTACTAGAAGTGAATTTACCAGAACTGAAGAGCAGTTGATAAATTGATATGGTAACAATAAGGTGCAGTTAACCTCCAGACCAACACTCTGCTTGATTTCTCAGATTTAATCTAGTCTTACTATGTTACACATCTTAAGTATATCTTGTTCCTTTTTTTTGATTTACATGCTTTGAAGTTAAGACAAATCTGAGTTCCAATCCCTGGTTCTTTCTTTCCTGTGGATATTTCAGTAAGCCTCCTAATCTCTGTCAGCCTCAATCTTCTCATCTATTAAAGGGGAATGATAAAACCTTTCAGAGTTCTCGAAAGTTTATTGATAATGTACACAGAATATGTAACCCTGGATGGAACACCTATAGGAGGCGCTCAGTGTATCATAGAGGCTAGAATTACAATTGTTACCCACAATCTGATAATGTCTTTCAATAATGAGGACCTTTCCAAAATCCAGCATTACCAGTTTTGTATCATATTTAAGTCAATTAAATAAAATAAGTTCTTAGTAAATAAGTAATACTATATAGTAGAGGCAAGGCTTAATTCAGGGAAACAAATTATGTAAATCAATATGAGGTGTTCGACAATTATAGGATACTCTTTGGAAATTGCAGCAAATGTTTCTCTTTGCGTTCTATTTTTGCTAAATAAGGATTTAAATCAATCTTTTATATTATGCGCTCACATCTATCTTCCCAGGATGCTTTTAAAATGTGTGTTTGTAATTGAAAATATATGGGGAAAGGCTCATTTAAGTTATTGAAGCAGGTATTTTTCTGTTTTTTCTGTTTTGTTTTGGTTTGGTTTTTGGTAAATGATATCTCTATAATAACTTTTTTGCATTTGAACAGAGCTTTTGTAAATTATCTGAGTTAGTGATCACCAGTTTGTATCCCACCAGTCCAACATACATTTGACAGATGAGAAGGGTAAGACCCTGAGAGGGCAACAGGCTTATGCAAGGAGAAGAGCAAGTTTACGACCTACATCCCACGAACTCCTAATTTAGCATTGTTTTCATTATTCCTTCATGGGGATAAGGTTAGGAAAAGAAAATAAAAAGAGATGGAAAACGTAGAGCTTTAAGGTCTTAATGATTAATACCAGAGTTCACTTTTTTAAAGCAAGAAGTCATCATTGTATCTCCTCGTTTTTAAAACATTGAGTGGTTCCCCTTTGCCTATTGCCAAGTTCAAAATTAGAAGGTATTTCTCTCATCTGTAATTTCCCACATAAATCCCAAACTCCAGCAAAGCAAAACCATATCTTTTTATACTTCTTTGCCTTTCCTGTGGTTTCCTCTCTCTATTTCCTTAAACCTTTTTCAATATCTATTATGTTTTTATATCTGTTACACAATTAATTTATCAGATGTCTACAAAATGCTTACTGTGTGCCAGGCACTGTTAGAAGTGCTTCTCAAATATTAAGTCAGTTAATTTCCATGACAATCCCAGGAAATAAGTCATATTATCCCATTTTACAGATGATAAAACTGAAATATTGAAACTGCAGAAGAGAGTCAAGATTCCAGAAAGAGGATTCTGGTTTCAAAGTGGGTACTCTGAACCATTACATGATGTCACATATGTACTCAGAATTATACAACTGAAAAGCTTATCACATTCAGCCAAGACCACTGTCTAAATGGCATGCCACCAAAGGCCTCTGGGTTGTAGAATTCATTACCTTGTAAATGTACCATCAACTGGAACCTACTTCTCATCTTTTTAGACTCAGAAGTCTGGTAATTTTCAGTAATCATACCAAGAACAGATCTGCTCTTGGAGGTGGACTCACAATGACTTGACCCATGAGATTAATGTTTCAAACTAGAATGCTAGTTTATTTATTAACTTGCAATGAAAAGTAGAACTATCACATGGACCAAAATACCTATGTGAACATGATAAGCACATTGTGCCTCTCGGCAGTCCTAAGAAACCAGATCACTCTTGGCAAGTTGCTTGGTCAACATGGCATCGTAATGAGGGGTATCCCTGGGATGAACAGAACATTCATTGACATCAGCTAAGTTAGCATGAGGCATCTGTACCATGATAGCAACATCCTTGCCAATGGGTCCTGGAGGACATGAAACTCATTGGTTTTTGGTCTGGACACTGCTGGGCTGGGTGCAGACAACCATATATCTCCATGATTCTCTTCTTTTCTATGATTATAATGCCTAACCAGCCCTTCCTTTCCTTTCCCACATTCTGTTGTTAATGTGTGTTAATATTCTCAACCTGGCCACAGTCTTCAGTCCTGGGGCCTTTCTATCTTTTTAAGACAGGCTTAGTGCTATTGTATTTTCAGTTGCTATTTTCTTTTTGCTAACATCCTCAAGGCCTAACACAAATACTATCTAGCTTTTCCTACACTGAATTATGACAACATGACTGGTTTTTTTAATAGGAAAGACAAAGTCGTAATCATTCTTCTTTGTATTCCCAGAAGTAAATGCATTGCCCAGCACATAATAGGAGATCAGTGGATGTTTGCTGAATAAACAGGTAAATGAGGAGGTATAAATCATCATGGTTAGGAGTGTAAGCTCTGAAAGTGCATGTTCTGGTTTCAAATCTCAGCTCTATTATTTAACACTTGTGTGATTTTGGGAAGTTACTCAACATCCCTGAACTTCAGTTTTCTCATCTCTAAAAAGAGTACAATTGTACCCTGCCTCCCAGAGTTCTTGAAAAGATTAAATAAATTAATACATATACCGAACTTAGAAATGTACCTGGAATTTATCATAACCGTTAGTTATTAGTATAATAATTCTCTTAGCATTTTGTATTGTCTTTTTACTTGTTTTGTTAAAAGTATGACTTATTTTGCAGAGAGCAGAGTACTGCTTGTTCTTGTTTTAAGTGTCATCATTGAATATTTAATCAAAAATTGTTTTTGTTCACAGAAATTCAGTAAAATGGAAACTCCCTTGTATTGCTGATGGGAGTTAGGAATGGCACAACTTTTAGGGAATGCAATTTAGCAATATTTATCAAAAGCCTTATAAAAGTTCATTCTCTTTAGTTTGGTAATTCCCCTTCTGGAAATCTATCTATTCTATAGCCACAGTCAGAAACTTGGATAAAAACACTTATATGGACATAGTTTATCACACTATCATTTATCAACCCCCTCACTGGAAATTACTTAAATGGCAAGTCATGAAAGAATGATTATACAAATTAGCCTATCTCATTTAACAGAATATTATGTAGCTTTCAAAACTGTATCTTTAAAGTTATTTTGTAGTGTGGGAAAATGCTTCCAAAAATTGAAGTGGAAAAGAACACCCAAACCACAAAATGGTATAGGTGATGTAATTTCTTCTACACTGAGTGAAAAAAATCAGTAAATCAAAATAACAGAGATTATCTTCAGATCAGACAACTACAGGGGATTTTGTTTTGTAATCTTTCTTTTCCACAACCTCTACAATGAGCGTGTATTCTGGAAGTAAAAATAATTCTTTAAGAACTATGAGTTTTAATGTCCTTAGGTGTGTAATTTTAAGACTTGTTGAATATTAAGTCTCATTTTTACCATATCCCAGGTCTAAGCTTTTTCAGTGAAATATCTCTTCAGTCTTATACTAGAAATAATGGATTTATTTTCAGAAAACTATGTATTAATATTTATTTGGCTAATAAGCACTAACTATAAGTACTTGTTTTGAAAAAATTTTTGAAGCAAAATGAATGCTTAGTTTCAGCCCTCATGGAGAAATCAGTTTATATGTACAACTCCTTGTGATCTGCTCTGTTTAGTATTGATAGCAATTTCTGTAAGAACATTGCTACTCGGAAGAAAAGAAAGACTCTTACATTACTCTTAAGAGAAAATTGTTTTCATAAGAAAATAGCTTCAATTTTGAGCCTTTCACAGTAGTAATGAGTTTTTTCTTTTTTCTTTCTTTCTTTTTTTTTTTGTTTTTTTTTTTTTTGTGACCTAGGAGCTGTGAGGGAAGAAATATTCGATATAGAACATGCAGTAATGTGGTAAGTATTGAGGCTCACTTCTATGATTATGATCATATATTTTTTAAGAACTGAATAATGCTAAGCAGTTTTATGTATCCTGAACCAGCAATCAATTAGTATTTCAATAAGAGTTTTTTATCTCCCACTGTACTGTTGATGCAGCCTTTAAAAATACATATTTTGAGGGCACCTGGGTGGCTCAGTTGGTTAACTGTTCGACTTTTGGCTCAGGTCATGATCTCACAGTTTGAGGGTTCGAGCCCTGCATCGGGCTCTGTGCTGACAGCTCAGAGCCTGGAGCCTGCTTTGGACTCTCTCTCTCTGTCTCTCTCTCTCCTTCTGCCCCTCTCCAGCTCATGGTCTGTCTCTCTGTCTCTCAAAAATAAATAAACATTAAAAAATTTTTGAATAAAGATAAATAAATAAATAAATAAAATACATATTTTTAATTCTCCTCAATATAAACTCTCAATCATTCGGCCAGATGGAAACTAACTAGGCCATTTCAAAACAGGGGCTCTGTATTTCTTTTCTGCTTTCTGACTTTTCACATCTAAGTCTCTTGAGAACCAATAAGAGGAATGATAAAAAGGGAAACCACTAGGGTCTCATGAAATAAGTATTAATCAAACTCAGATTTGACAAAATCATTCATTCATTCAATCATTCATTTATTCAACAAAAAACATTCAATACCATCCTTGTATGAGGCACTACACTAGTATAAGGGAAATTGGCATGTGGTCACTGTCTTAAAACATCTGTGATAAAGTAGGGGACGCAGGGAGAGAAGATAGAGGTGCACATAACCATACTCAAGCACAAAGTATGGCAAATGCTGCAATAAAGGGATAAAGTTCTTTGTGGGTTAAAAATAGAGAGACCTCTGAAGAGTCTTCAAGGAAAAAGTGATTTGAGATATGGCTTAGAGGACCAGGAGGGCGGTGACTGGTCCACACTGAGTGTGAGGGGTGATAGTCCAAGCAGAGGGGACACAATGGGCAACTTGGGATGCAGAAATGTTTAAGGCGTGTTCCACATATGAATTTGGAAAGGATTGTGCCTAACAGTATTGAAGAGGGGTGCCTGGGTGGCTCAGTCGGTTAAGCATCCAACTTCAGTTCAGGTCATGATCTCATGGTTTGTGGGTTCGAGCCCCGCATCGGGCTCTGTGCTGACAGCTCAGAGCCTGGAGCCTGCTTCAGATACTGTGTCTCCCTCTCTCTCTGCCCCTCCCCTATTCATGCTCTGTTTCTCTGTGTCTCAATAATAAACATAAAAAGATTTAAAAAAAACCAGTATTGAAGAAAAGAATTGAAAGATATTTTGAGGTTACACCTTGAACAAATTTAAATGTTAGGATTCCAAGTTTATATTAGTTCAGTGAATAATGAGGGTTCACTAGAGGCTTTGGAGCAAGAGTATGATATTGTAGTTTCTCTGACTTCAGGAAGATTAATTCTGTAGTGATCTGAGGAAAGCTCTGGAACAGGAAGTGGAGGAGGAGCAAGAAGAAATCAGAGCTTAAACCAAAGCGAAATAGATGCAAGAGAGGTCAAAATTAAGGTCACTTTGTAAGACCTAACAAGCAATTTAAATTAGAATGAAAAGGTGAAGTGAGAGTAAAGGAAACAGGGAGGTGTGTGCATATTTAGAGCTCTTAAACTGGCCTATCCTCTGTTAGAGTAACTCTTTCTCACTAGCTACATGGCTCACATTTTCCTTATTCCCATCTCAGCTCAAATGCAACCTCCTCAGAGCAGTTTCCTTGACCACCTTATCTGATGTGCTTGTCCCACTGCCTAATCCCATCTCTCACAGCCGTCAATCTTACTTCCTTTACAGCACTTTGACTTTCTTTGTAGCACTAATCTCTACCAAAATTTATCTTTTTTGATTACTTATTTGTTTTCTGTTTTCTAACTCTAGAATGTGGACTCCATGAGGATAGGAGCCTCATTCATCTTGTTCTCTCCTTTATCCCCAGTGCCTGGAACTGTTGACTCACACATATTAAGTACATGATGGAAATTTGCTGAATATATAATGGATGGCCAGGGTTCTGAAAAAAATGGTGAATACTGTTGTCAAAAGTAGGAATGTTGGGAGAAGGCTTGGGAGAGGGAAATGACAAATTTGATTTAGGGACAGTATTGAGTTTGACATGCAGGCTGAACTTGTAGATGATATATTCAACTGTGCAATGAGGATTTGAGCTCAGGAAGGAGATCAGGGCACAAGCCATAGAAAAACAAATGAGATGCATAAAATTTGAAGATTTGGAAGCAGTACCTTAAGGGAGCGCATGTAGAATCCTTAGAGGAGAGAAGCTCAGAACTTTGGTGAATATCTGTATTCAGATAGAATGAGAACAAGAGTGCCAGGTAAGCCACAACAGACACAATAGAGAAGTACCAGAAGAAATAAAACTTCATAAAGGTGTTCAGTGGGATAAATGTTGCCAATAGGTTGAAGACTGAAAAAACCCCACCGGAGGAACAGTTTCTATAGTGTGCTAGGAACAAAATCAAGATCATGGGGGGTAAAAAAAAAAATGAGTATCAATGAGAAAATGGAGTTGATGGGTATAAGCTATTCTTATTAAGTGTTAATAGAGGTATCTCATTATTTATGGAGTCACATAAAGGTATGTGGGTAGTCGGTCTGTTTGCAGTGAGTAAACCTTGAGAGATACGTTGATCTAAAAGGAGAGACTGATGATATGAGGGTGTAAGGGGATGCTTGATGCCCCAGGTCCCAAAGGAGACAGTGGGTGACAATAAGAGGAATCTTGGTAAAGGCAAAGGACATACTCTTCACTCTGAGAAAATAGAAGGAAATTGAGAGAGGAAGTTTGAGGATATAGAAAGATTTTGAAGAAGGGAAAAGATGAGGCTGCTCATGAGGCACAAGCTCAAGCTTCCTTGTAGAGTTTTCTCCATCACCTGCTGACAGTGAAGGAGGTGAGTCGAACTTGAAGGCCTACAACAGCCACTGGGGAAATCAAGTAAAAGCCAGCAAAGCAAAATAAGGAATTGTTAGGGGGCAATGAAGGGGCTCAACTGAGGCCAAAAGCTTGATGTGACTGAGAACAAGGACAGAAGGATGTTAAGACTTAGTCCGGTAGTATGGCAATGCATTGGGGCAGGAACAGAGAAGACTCACATTGGAGGTGACTTATAGTCAAAGTACTGATGAAATGGGTTGAGAGAGACCAAGATGAATGAAAAGTATATATATTTTTTACACCTGACCAGGGAGAATGCAAGGAACTAGAAGGCATGATAATTGGGAGTAAGAGTAACTGTCCAGTGGAAAATTTTGCCTACTTCATCTCTCTCTTTCTATGTAGGACACTAGGTGCCATATAGTTCAACTGCTAATTGGTTAAAAGAATCAAATAGCTGCAGTTCTTAAATTTTTAAAAACGGTATTGACTGTTTTAGAAATGGTATAAAAATACCTAATGGAAATATACTTTAGCTCATTGGTTTTCTTTATCCCTTTTATAGTAGTGATATCTTATATATTGGGGCTATTTTTTAAATACCATAATGTTATTTAAGAATCTCCATAATGTCCATTCTGTTTCTTTATAGCTTTTAAAATAGTGGAAAGGATCCAAACTCTCCTAAGTAGATGAATGCCTAATGCATCATGAGCATATGTGTGCCTACCCTGTCCTTCAAGCTTTTCAGAAACAGCCCACAATTTCCTTGCTATCCTTATGAGCACTTTCACGGACAGATGTAGGCTAAGACTCTGACCTAATATTATTTAAAACCCATAGTGTTACCTGAGCCAACTCTTTACAGCTTGTAGAATCAAACTGACATTGAGTCTTTTATGAGAATCTAAAGTCTTCAAATCATTTAAAGTTTTTTTTTCTTTCTGGCTTTTGGCCATGACAGGAGTGACATTGCCAAAAAAACAAACAAAACATCTCATAAGAAAGAATCTTTTCATAATCACATTCCAATTTCTCAAACTAAGAAGTTCAGGGCAATTTAGTTAAATATTCTCCTTTTAAATACCTGTTTGGAAAAAACTCTAGAGTCCCTTTTTAGGTAAGCCTCCAGGTCAACCCTTAGTCCCTGGCAGCTTTCTGGGGCTCTTCCGAACCACTTCTCCAAAGATTCACCCTCTTTTTCTATTCTTTGTGGGTGCGGCATATGACATTTCTTTGGGTTCTTATTCTCCAAGGCTGAGGAGGAGAAAACCTCTCCTCAGTTTTGTGAGTTTTCTGTGTTGCCCTGGAAAGTCAGTTCACATACTTTTAAGATTTTTTGTTAATCACTCTATAGACAGGGTGTATCAATAAAGAAAGTTCCCATGATGTTTGTCTGGTTCTTATAGTCATGCTACCTTCTGCTACTATTTCTATCAGGTTCAAGCAGATCATTTTCATTTCTAAGGATGTAGTACATCCAACCTTTCCCATTTCACAGTCCTCACTTTTGTCTAGGAAGGTGGCAAGACCCTCTCTCTCTGGAAGAAAAGACTAAGGGTACTATTGTGAAGAACAATAGGTGTGCACTAGCAAACCACCCAAGTGAGTCATTTAAGTCTCAGATCTTCCCAGGGGGACCCTCAAAAAAGGTTTCTTCATGTTTATTCAAATTAGACCTCACATCTGAGCCCCTTAATCTTAGTTAGACATTTTAAAAGGACTTTCAAAGTTAGACTAATATCATGTTACTTATAAACTGTTTCTTTGTCACCATCCTTAGTCTTCATAAGAGTTGACATTTCAGAAACAGTGACCACAGTTAGCAACATAATAAGTCAAGGTGCCTGTGGTAGCTGGCGGTGGTCATGGGTTTTTCTTTTTTTCAATTCAAGTTACTTAACATATAGTGTAGTATTGGTTTCAGGAATAGAATTTAGTAATTCATCACTTACATATAACACCCAGTACTCATCCCAACAAATACCCTCCTTAATGCCCATCACCCATTTAGACTGTCCATCCCCCCCCCCCCCCAACCCCTAGCAATCCTGCTTCTTCTCTGTATTTA